ACTACTCCTGGGCTTTTGCAAAGCCCACCCAACTTTCTCCAAGGAACTATCATCGGACATAATAGTTTCGTTGAAGGCTTGCTTTTTCTCAACTTTGTCGGATAGAGTTGAAAACTTGAGCGCCCACTCCCTGCGTAGCTGGTCATATAAATTTTCCTGTTTTTTTACGGCCGTGGTATTATGCTGTYCAAAGTTCATGTGRTCTTGCAGCTCATCCCAAGTCGTGAAAGATAAGGAGCAACAGGGCTCTTTACATTCAAGTAAGACCTCTTCGTCTGTGTCGCTGGTAGGTATATCCTGCGACCGTTTCATCAGCCTCCGTTCCATTCTAAAAAAACCCTTGATCTCCCACTACGCTTAGTGTAACGTCAGACTGATACTGTACGTTTAACTCTGACCATGTAACAACTTTCCCTGAGCCTATGCCGTACGCCTTGGACATGCAAAGGTCTTTCTTGTCATATGAGAAGTTGTGGAATGCGCTAAAGTTGTTGATTCGGTTGACCTTAATTTCCTGCGGGGCGATATCTCCGAGGTCGCATACAGCTGCTGTTGTTCCCTTGACCGGTCTCGCTMTTAGGGCTTCATACATATCTGACGATGACATGATGTCATGACCCTCATCRCAGTATCTTCTCATCGCACCTTTCAGGGGGCTGATTATCCTATCACATATATCTTTTCCGTACTGTGGTTCGGAAAAGTCGTACCTATAAATACATAAAAGAAAAAATAAGAAAAACTATTCAAAATGTAGAAGTCCTCAGTTTCTTTATACCAAAAATGCACTAATCCATTTATGCAGCGCAGGTACTCAAAAACTTAGGTCTTTTAACATTTAAATTAATTGTATACTGTTTTTCCAAAAGCGTGTGAGAAAAGTCAGATGTATTATAAAATCGATAAGAAATCCTCCTTAGCTTTCTAGCTGATATCTTATTAGCTAGTTTTACGCATTTGCAAGAAATAGAAAAAAATAGTTTGTCATGTATCTGTTAATGAGAATGTAATCACTTACGAAACGAGTACCATGCATATTATGCCGCAAAAAAAAAGTGTTCGGTCTAAACRCGTTTTTGTTTTGTCTACCTTATTATTTGTATTCCAGTATTCTTGACAAGGTCCTTTAAAGCAGCAACCAAATTGTTATTATGGTAGCAGCCAGCACCATCTGATYGTAAGTAGGCCTTGTTGATATGCGGCTGAGTTTGTTTCAATGTATTTAGAAGGTGAGTTAGAATTGCGCTAACAGTGTAGCAGTCCTGAGAACARTTGTCCAGAAGGTGTACATAGGAGGCAATCTGCAGGTCATTAGTGGTACTGGATTTGGAGACGACGCAACTCACATGCCAACTCATTCCGCGCWTGCCGTACCACTCGCACTGTTTCTCTCGATACTTYATTTGGGTGAATTTCATAGCCCAGTCCATCAAGATGAAGACAGCGTCCTGTGGTAACGATTTCAACACATCTTTCTTGGCCACATCTTGGTTCTCCGCTCTCAATATATGTGCCTTCCACTGTAGAATCATATCTAGTGCTTGACGGGCATCACGTAGAAGGTCTTGTTGCTGCTCTTCACTGTAAAAATCCAATTCCGATGATTGAATTTGCGTCAAAACGGAAAGCAATGTAGTCTTCAAAGCTTCGCAACTGTCGCAAGTCACACAGTGTTCATGATCGCACGACTTCTTTAACTCCGAGCATTTGATGTCACTGAGGGCATGTTGTCGGCAGTGGTCAGCGCAAGAGCTCGTGTCTTCCCTACAGTGTGCTCTGTATTCCGTCTTAAGATAACGCTTTCCTGACTTTAGGTTCTTTCGGACGTTATCGCACCAGTCGTGCTTTGCGCCGATATTCTCCAATATTTCRATGACTTTGTGCATCGTCTCAAAACTATCAGCACCACTAGCGGCGATGTTGTCTAGGCCTTGGAGAGACTTTCTTTGTGAGGCTTCGCGAACTTTCAATATTCTGTACAGCGTGGAGGTTCCCAGAGGTTGAAATTCTTCCTCTCTGCACTGTTTGAGATAAAGCTCAATCATAGTTGATCTGCCTACTCTTCRCACGACATTCGGCATCACCAGCTGCTCACCAGATTCTAGTTTAAGCTTTCTTATGCCATACGCCACATCCTGATAGAAATAGGGCTGGTCTATATATGACAGAAAGTGGCTGAGCTTCGTTACATCGATTCGTACTCTGTGGAAGGTCTTTTTCTCAACTGCCATGCCAACACCAACAGCTTTTGCATGTGCTCTGGCCTTCTTAATCTGACGATCACTCAGTTTCTCGAATGAAGAGTGAATGTTCTTCAGGTCATCAGATGAATATTTGGATGCGTAAATGCTCAAAATCTGCGTTTTGAGATTTTTCGTTGGCGCATGYTTATACGCAGTAGTGAGTAACTCGATTTCACTGTCTGTGCTCAATGATCGTTTAAACGATGTGAGGAGTTGTTCACTAGCATTTGGGGCGATGACTTTACATATGGCCTGACATGCCTCATTGACCATTTCTTCACACAACATCTTTTCTCTTTTTGTAGCCACTTYCCATTCGGATTTAAGCCTGAATGTAAGTGGTTCAATGGCCTTCAGATCAGATAAAGCAGCRATATGAGCCATTGCGTCATTGTATACTTGAAGTGTATTTTGCTGGTCAGGCTCTTCATCTGAGTTGTCTTCATATTCCTGTGCGCGMCAATGTCCAGGTGTCCACTTAGGGTCCGCTAACTGACTTGATACTACAGGAGTTCCTGGAGGAAATTCTGCCATTGCTTGCATTGCGCTTTGTTTGCTTTTCCTAAAAATCCAACACAGAGACAAACGTTTAATATTAAACGTGAAGTACGAATGGAAGAGAATCGAAACTTCCAATATTTGAGTGAAAAACTGCCGGTTTTGATCATTGCGAATAACCCGCTATTTCGACCTTTTTGTATATCCATTTATTTGACCGATTAGTAGGTTTACACTAAAACAATTAGACCCGCAGCCCTTATGGTTTACGAGTCAATAGCCTTCTGCCTAATGGGCTATCGACTCGTAGACCATTCAGGCTGCGGGCCTAGTCGTTAAGTTTTATACGTTCAGTCTTGGACCAAAAAAAAATATCAAAGGTTAATCTGCAGGATGGAACATGCTGGTGAGTTACAGTTAACGAGCATACCTTGGTAAAAGAAGAGCTGCCGGTTTGTCTTGGTTATCTTCTGTAGCTTGGTCCTCGAGTAGCCATTTCCACTCTTGCTTCAGAAAAACCACCCCCCAATAGGTTTGAAAATCGTACATTCTTTTTTCCCTTTCCCTTTTTTGTGAAAGATAGTTATTTTCACTTCTATTGATTTCATAGTTTTTCTTTRATGAGAATGCAATTTATTGTTTTGCACCCCAGCACCAGATTTCATTAATTCATGCGGGATTCCTGTGGAAATGGCGCTACTCGTACCGGTGCAATCTCGTACCCAGAGCCTGCGTTTTTGATCGGAAGTAAACACAGAACTCTGTTTGAAAGCAGGTTTGAAAGTATGATTTTCATTGATTATGTTTCACTTCCGGAAAGCTGCGCATGCGCCAAAAATGGATTATGCCAGAGCCCTCGTTTTTCGCCGCAGGCCGAAAGAAACGCACGCAGGCTCTGGGTACGAGATTGGCACCGGTGGCATGCACTGCTAATGCGCCGCCTCTCACCAATGCGGCCCGAGTTCGAGTCCTGCCGATCCCGATGTCGTATGTGAGTAGAGTTGATTGTTGGTTCTCTCCTGTGCTTCGAGGGTTTTTCTCCGAGTTCTCCGGTTTTCTTCCCTCCTCAAAAATCAAACTCTAAATTCTAATTCGATCTCCGGGCTATCACTTAGTTTGGAGCCTAGCTCTGTTGTTATTGTCCCACGCTGTGATACAACAGCTAAAGCTAGTAGATATTACGCCACTGCTAAGTGTAAAATGTCAAAAGTCAGTCTTAGCTGAACTGCAGGTGCACGAACCTTAAAAAAACTGAACTAAATAAATCAAAATTAATTTAAAATAAAAGAGGAAAGTACTCACGTGACCCTATAGGAATAATGACGCCAAAGACCTCATTTACTTCCTTGACCATTCTTAAGGTAAAGGCTCGATCACCTTTGGCCCTCTCATGYTTTCCCTTGTGCTGGGGATGCTGGCATACCGTTCTTTCTCTCCAGTAGAGACCAAGATTGCTACGATGTCTCGGGCACACTAACATTTTCTCTATTTGCTGTGYTGTTATATTTAGAAATCCCGCTCGCAACAAAATCAATTCGCATTCCGTGACATGTTCCTTGGACAAGTGAAACCTTCTTAAGTGAGCTGAAACATCCCGCTGGCAACTGCTTAGAAATTCCAGCTCAAATTGACCCATAAATTCTCCACATCCACCTTTGTCTTTGAAGGACATAAAGCAAGCCATACTTGTTGGTGATCTTTATTTCACACTTATAGTAACTCGGGGAATATTCGGGACGTTTGGCGYCACCTGTCATTCACATTTTTTCCCCTTTCCCTTGTCACGCACTCATAAGGTGATAAATAAACTAGTCCATACTTTGATAAAACTAAGCCGATGTTTTGAAT